TCCTGCCTTTATGACTTCGTTTTACCTTAATTACTCTTTTAAGGCTCTATTTACAAATAAGTCATATATCGAGGTACTAGGAATTAGGGCTTCAACATGAATTTTAGGGGGATACAGTTCAGCCCATAACAATGGCAAATGAAGAATTTACTTTCTTTTACTTACAAATTGTTATTTATATATCTGAAAGTGATTTCTGTATTTTATTTTGTACCTAACAACCTTGCTATGATTTATGATAGTTTTTACTTTATTCTCTTATAAAGTTATATTATTTATAAATAATAATTTTTCTTTACAGTTAAAACTTTTTTTTTGTCTAATTACAATCAGAACTGTTGAAACAATTAAGAGTGGTGGTAGATCGTCTTCTTGTATTCCCAACTTTAATGAGAATATTTAGTAGCCTCTGGTGTTCCCATTAAGCATGATTTATTTTTATCTGTCTAGAATTTATTTATTTTTATTGTGTGAGGTGGTACCTAAATTATTTTGTTTCCAAGTGGATTGCCAACCATCCAAACATCATTTATTAATCTATCTTTTCCTCATTTGTGTAAAATACTTTTTTATATACTTAACTTTTCATGTTTTATGAAAAATCCTATTGATATTTACAGATTATATCAAGTGAATAGGATTATTCTGGGGGATAATTAAATTGACATCTTTAAAATGTTGAGTCTTTGTATATAGAAACGGAATATTTCTTTACTTCAGTTTTTCTTTGTGTCTTTCAATAGAGTTTTGTCATTTTCTTTTTCTTACTAGGTTTATTCCTAGGTGTCTTATAGTTTTTGTTGATATTATAAATTAAATTGTTTTTGTTATGTTTCTTATCTGGTTATTGATTGTGTATAGGAAAAATTTGATTCTTATATATTTATTTTGTCCAGCTTAGTTGCTAAACCCTTTGATTGTTTCTATTTGTTTTTTCAGTTGATTCTCTTGACTTTTCTGAATAGTCTTATTGTCTCTTTGTTCCTAGTACTTACACTGTTTTTTAAAGTTTTACTTCTGGCAGGGTATCTCATTGAATTGACTGGAACTTCCGGAATGGTAGCTGTATTCTTTATAGCTCCAGAGGATGGAAGGACAAATGAGCAGAATAGCTAGAGCTATTTGAACATGGAAGAGGCAACCTTGTATTTTATTTATTAGTACTGCCATACTAATTGTATTCTTATAGAACAACTAACTTGAAAGTCAATTCATTCATTAGGTAAATAGTAAGACTTGATGACTTCTAAGTCTAAATGATTAGCTGAGAGTATAAAGAGAGAGAGAATAGAAGTGTGACTTGAAGACCTTCAGTCTAGAGAATAGTGGTGGAGAAAAGGGCAAAAGAGCAGAAGTAGGAAGTCAGCAACAAAATGTAATGCCTGATTAGTAAAATAATCATGACTCTGCAGTATTACAGAAGCCAGAGGAGAGAAAAGGTTTGTAAAGTACAAGATGGTCATCAATACCTGATGCTACATAGAAGTGTAAAAAAAACAAGCCACGTATTTGTTAATGAGGTTATTTATGATCTGCTTTAGTGTCTCTTTATCTGCTTCTTCTTAATTGTAGTTTTAACTATTCTGTGATTCTTTAATTTGAATTTTTATCTATATTATTAGCTTGGCAGGAATACAAACCAAGCCTTATTTACTTCTGTTGTATAAGTCTCATGGGATTTTGAACAATCTTATTCTTAGAGGAGTAGGTGATCCATAATATTTATTGGTAAATTTTTATGTAAATTTTAGAGGAATCCCTCCTTAATTTCAGGTTATGATTGTAATTTAAGTTTCCATGTTTTACACTTACCAGACCAACTATAATCATGTGCCAATTATAGATAAGGCAGAATAAGAAAAAAATTTTAGTTAATCAAAAAAGTCAAGATAAACTAATTTGAGAATAGAAATGCAAAATAATAACTGGAGAAAAACATGGGCCTACTGGACACCAGGTCTGAAGTGGCTGGAGGTAACTGGGCATTCAATTTCAATGGGGTATTGGGAAGTAAAAATGTCACATGGAAATCAGGAGACCAGAATTAGGCTCACTGATTAAAAGTTGAATTTGGGAATGGGGCTTCCCTGCTCCTAAAGGAAGTTTATATAAGAGGTACTACCAAGTGTTCCCTGAAGCTACACTTAAAATATAAAAATACTTCTATAGAGAGGTGGGAGGGCATAAATACAGCCTTAAGACCAATACTCAAGCCAAACTTAAGTGATTCAGTACCTGAATCTATAGTAGCCAATAATGTCTGGAGTCCTCAGTCCTATTTTTTGACTAGGTTATGATGGGCACTGGTGAAGACAAATGAAAAATCATGAGACGGAGGGAGAGAGAGAAAGAGGAGGATAGGAAAAGAGAGGGAGGATTCTCACTCAAGATCTGCAAACAACAATTCCAAAGCACAACTAAAAAAAGAAGAAAACTAAACCAAGAAACATATCCAACAAAATCAACAATCAAAAGATGGATTCACTCCCATATGAAATGAAAGTAGTAAAATAATTTTTAAAGACATATTTAAAATAAGTGTGTTTAGGATTCTCCAAAAGATAAATAATAAAACTCTTTTAAAAAATATGAAATTGTGATAAACCAGCAGAAATGAAATAAGAACAGACAAGTATATGAATGAATTAGACATCTTAGAAATGAAATTATAGAAATTGTTATATAATATGAATTCTAAAGTAAATATGGTTGAAGAAGGAATTAGTGACCTAGAATGCAGAATATAGAACATAAAATACTGAAAATTATGTAATTATGCAGTTAAGAGACATAAAAAATAGATCGAGGGACTTCAATATATATATATCTGACAGGAGTTATAGAACAAGAGGCCATAAGAATGACTAAGAAGCAATAACGAAAGAGCTAATGTCTGAGAATTTTCCAGGATTGAAAACTTAAGTCCTCAGATTAAAAGTATACTAAACAGAAAAATAAAAATAAATCACAACAAGAAACATTCATTGCAACTATAAAACAAAAGGATAAAGAGAAACTTAAAAGCTACCACAGAGAAGAAATAAATCTCTAAAAGTTTATCGACTAGACAGGCTTCTCAAAAGTAACAATAGAAGGTAGATGACAATGAACTAATATCTCTAAAATGCTGAGAGATGATAACTATACCCATCTAAACTACCATTTAAGGCAAAAACTAAAATAATTTATCTTTGATATACCTCTGTAAGAATTTTTGCAGGGCATTCGTTAGCAAGAAGAAAAGGAAACCCAAAGGTAGGAGAGGGATGCATTTTTGGAAAAGTTAATTAACAATGAGAATAAAAATAATTATTTTTGTAAAGATTATTCTTAATCTCTGGAAAATAATAACAAGGAATATAGGTAGCTAAAGTGTCCTAGGAGCATTGTCTTGTTCAAGTGCTGAATAAGTTTAACTAATTTTTTTCTAATAAAATCAAGTATAGTTGACCCTTAAACAATACAGGGTCAGACCCTTGAACAAAACAAGTTGGAACTGTGTGGGTCCACTTATACTTGATTTTTTTCATTAAATAGTCTAAACATATTTTCTTATGATTTTCTTAATGATATTTTCTTTTTTTCTAGCTGACTTTATTGTAAGAGTACAGTATATAATACATATAACATACAAAATATGTGTTAATTGACAGTTTATATTATTGGTAAGGTATCCAGTCAACAGTAGGCTATTAGTAGTTAAGTTTTTAGGGAGTCAAAATTATGTGAGTTTTTGACTGGGCAGGTGTCTGGCATGCCTAATCCCGATGTTGTTCAAGGGTCAACTATATAAGTATATATTTTAAGTGTATGTATGTATGTATTGAGCACCTACTATGTGCCAGAAACTGGTCTATCTCTGGAGATAAAATAGTGCAAGGAAAAAGCCTCTTCATGGACTTTACCTTTTCATGGTAGTAAACTATATACTGCTTAAAAGAAGCAGTATAACCCAGACAGACTTGAAAGCAAATACATTGTTAAATAGGAAAAGATACCCTGGAAAAATGTGCTGGTGTGATGAAGTGAAAAGCTGATGTTTATTAATGTCAGGTAAAATACAGTTTAAGGTGAAGAGCATTAATAAAGTAAAATGAAAAGCTAGAGCATTACTGAATTTACATAACACCTCATAGAGGCTTGAAAATGAAAACTGATAGGATTAGAAAAAAACTGATGAGTTCACAGTTATGTGAGGCCATACTCTATTAAAACGTGTACGGAAACAACAAATTAGTCAAGAATATAGGAAAGATTTGAACAGCACAACTAATGAAGTTGATCTAATACATGTAGAAAATTTTGTACCCAACGAATAGCGAATATATGTTGTTTTTGAGCACACAAGGAATACTTACAAAAATTGTATCCTAAATCACAAAAGAAGTCTCCAAAATTTAAGGTTACCAGAATCTATAGGCCACATTCCCTGACCTCAATAATTAAACTTGAAACCAGCAATAAAAAGTTTTTGAAACGCTCATCTGACTAGAAGCTAGAAAATGCACTTATAAATAACTCAGAGGTTAAAGAGGAAGCCTGGAAAGAGCCAGCAGAGTAAAGATGAAGTAGGTAGAGGGAGGGCATATTAAAGATAACAACAGAAATTAATAAAATGTGAAGAAAAGATTAATACTTTTCTAATTTTATATCGTGATGACCAGTGATAGGACTAGCAAAATTGGCCAAGAAGAATACAGGTATTACTTGAGCCTCTCTATTTCTATTCATGATTTATTTCGACAATAATCTTTATCTTTAAAAGATATCCAATGTGAGCTAATAAGAAAAATATAGGACCCAAATATAGATTATAAATTTATTGTCAAATTTTCAAGAGTGTGTCTTTTCCATATACCTAGAAAATTATAGAACTGTATAAGTGAAAACATCAAATTTGTAGAATTATTTTACTATTATTTTATTAAGTGATATTATAATGGCCTTTAATAGAAAGTTCTTTTTATATACTCAACATATTTTTCTTTCCCACCTTGTAGGTCACTCACATGAGTCGTCCAGATCTGATTCTCTTTCTGATGAAATACCTGATGGCTCTCATAGTTGGTATTCCCTCCATTTTTTGGGTTGGAAGCAAAAAGACATGCTTTGAATGGGCCAGTTTTTTTCATGGTCGTAGGAAAAAAGAGTAAGTTGAAGTAAATTATCACAATGTTTACAAACTTCACATTCACATAATTTTTTTTTTGCATTGCTTACATTAAAATGATTTGGATTTGGAGGAAGTATTCTAACAAAATTGTAACCTCAGCTGCCGTCAGTCGAGATTGTCACAATAACATATTATTTAAAAGCTAAAAAGTTTTTCTGAGAAAATAGCCAAGTAGAATTGGGCTTAAGATCTGTGCCTTATAAATTCAGAATATTTGACAGAAGGCCAGTATTTATTTTTTTAAATCCAAATTATAATTCTTTAAAATTAAAAAAAACAAATTAATGCTTTCGTATATATTCTTTTATCCTCTTAATATTCCTGTGAGGGTTGGTACGTGTTAGCATCTCTGTGTTACAAATTGAGAAAACTGAGAAACAGAAAAGTTAAGTGCCTTGGCCAAAGTCATACAGGTATTAGATTAGACTTCCAATTCCATTTATTCATTGTTCTTCATAAATGATTTAAAGAGATAGTATACCATAAATGATTTAAAGAGATAGTATGTTATTCCATTCTGATGCAGCACACATTAATGCCAAAATAGAAAAATGATATCAGTAGATAAAATGGAATATGTTTAAGAAAGTATTTTAATTCATAGTTTGCCACGCTGCATATTAGAGTATCATGGTAAGTAGATACCTAATATCCTCTTAGAAATATCTTCTTAGGACATTAGTCTCCATAAAAAAAAGTTATTAAGAAAGATCAAAGGAGAATACATTTAAAATACTTGGCACAATGCATGTACTCAACAAATATTAGTCTTCCTTCAGCCCTTTCATTCTAGCACTAAAAACAACAGTGCTTTTGTAATTTGAAAACAGAATATATGTACTTACTGTATGATCTAATCTTTACATATTGGAGTTTTTTTTTCATGAAATTGTTTATCTTATTTTAACTTTAACTCTGATTCTCATAGTCACATAAACTGAGACACTGATTTTTGCAAATATTTAATTTTTTTATTAATTTAATTACTGCTTTGTCCATCTGTTTTAACACTTTCATAGCAGTTAAAAATGTTTGCTCTTGACAATAATTTATCATCTTAATTTTTTTCTCTTAAGCCTTTAATATGTCTGGGAATTAATCATATGTTTTCATAATTTTTTATATGTTTCATTCTTATGACCACTCATGTTTATTCCAGCACTAGACAACTTCTTCTGCCATAAAATCATGTTGCAGCCTTAAAACAACTGCTCTTACAAGTTAAAAAACGTTTTATCTATGCCACAGTGAGGCCTTCGCTACTTCCATAAACCATGCAATAAAACAATTTTTCTACTTTATAGTAAGTACATATATTCATATATTTCAGTGTCCTTGAGAATCAAAATTCTTTAGCCGAAAGGGACTTTTTAGAAATCATGAAATTGTATCCATTTTATAAATGAAGAAAATAAAGGAAAATAAATAACAACTTGCTTAAAATCACATATTTACTGATAGAATTGGAGCTAAAATCCTAATTTTTCTTATTCTAACCTAGTCTTCTTTCCATCATACCACTTTAGAGGATAGATTGATACAGATTTTTGTTATGTTCTTTCCTCTGTCAACAATATTACCTTATATCTATCCTAAAGACTTATGTAGAGAGCAATGAAATTCAAGAATAACATCAGTGTATCACAAAAGTATTGTTTGTTAGTTTATAGGAATGTTAATCTGTATCTTAAACGCAGTGTTTTGTTGTCTAGGATAGTGAATGAGAGCCGACAGGTACTCCAAGAACCTGATTTTGCTCAGTCCCTCCTGAGGGATCCAAATACTCCTATTATAAGAAAATCAAGAGGAACTTCTACTCAAGGAACATCCACACATGCTTCTTCAACTCAGCTGGCTATGGTGGATGATCAGAGAAGCAAAGCAGGGAGTGTCCATAGCAAAGTGAGCAGCTACCATGGCAGCCTCCACAGGTCCCGTGATGGCAGGTGAGTTTTATTGGTAGTTTAGTTTCTTTCATATGCTGCATTAGAGTTACACGATTTAAGAATCTTTCATAATCTTTGTTTTTAATAAAAGTCTATTAAGAAAGGTAGTGTAGTCACTGTTAGTGTTGTATTTAAAAACATGGGATTTGGAATGAAACCCCTCAGTTTCGTCATCTATAAAATGGAAATAGTAATAATATCTGCCCTTTTCGGAATATTGTAAAAAATAAACGAGATGTGTTTAATTGCTTCAACAGTGCCCATCTCAGTAAATACCTAATATTAGCTTCTATTATTATTATGTGAACAATTAAAGTAAAATATGAATATGGTGGTGTAGTTGGCCCTCTGTATTCGTGAATTTTGCATCTATAGATTCAGCCAACTACAGATCAAAAATATTGGGGAAAAAAATGTTACTTTGTTGCTGACACATACGATGTAGTTAGGCCTATGATGGATGTGTCTGTACTGAAGATGTACAGACTTTTTTTCTCATCATTATTCCCTAAACAGTATAGTATAACAACTATTTACATAGTATTTGCATTGTATTAGATATTTATAAGTAATCTAGAGATGATTTAAAGAGTACAGGAAGATGCGTATAGGTTATCTGCAAATACCACACCATTTTATATAAGTGACTTAAGCATCCTCAGATTTTAGTATCCATCCTCAAGGATCCTAGAACTAATCCCTCATGGATACTGAGGGAAGACAGGATAGTCCAGAGGTTGGCAAACTTTTTCTATAAAGAGCCACATAGTAAATATTTTACTCTTTGTGAGTCATATGGCCTCTGCTGCAACCATTCATTTATGCCGTTATAACATGAAAGCAGCCATAGACAATATGTAATCAAAATGGGAATGGCTTTGTTCCAATAAAACTTTATTTACAAAATAGGAAGGATATGGGGGTCAGAGAAATTTTCATAGGAATACTGTTTGAGAGAAGGCTGGATGTGTTTCCTTGTTAAATTTGATAATGAAGACACAATATTCAAAATTTCTTAGGAGCTTTGCAATAATTCAGTTGAGAGATGGTGAAAGTTAACAGGAAACTACTGGCAGTGGGAAGAGAGGAAGAGCTGATCTGAAAAATATTTAGAAAGAAGAAATGAAAAGATGGGAATTAGTGATGGATTAATAGCAGCAAGAGAGAAGACTATCAACGTTTTATTTTTTTACGATTTCTAGTTTGGGAAATCTTTCTTATGCCTAAAATGGAAAGCATTCTTTGTTCACTTTAAAACATGTTTCTACAACTATCTGGTATCTTTTTAACATTATCTCAGGCTTTCTTTCAGTCTTCTCTGTCCTAGTGTAGGATATGATTCCTATACTTACTTTCTTTTTAGATCTTCTGGTTTTTCCTCTCAACCTGATGTCTTTTGCCAGAGTCAGCTACTCTGTTTTAAAAAGCAGCTGTCCTTCATTGACTATGATATATTTTTATCTTTTCTCCATTTCTTTTTCCTTTTCTTGCCAGATTTTTGAAGTGAATATTTTGAATATTTTCTTTCTACCTATTTCATTCTTCATTTCTTATATATCTATTCTTTTACTGCTACTTACCTACGTAAACTGTGTATCCCCAATGACCTGTTTTTTTAACCAATATCTTTTCTCTTTCCTGCCTTTTTCCTTCTATTCAGCACTCCCATATAAAAAGTATTCTAAGTGCTAGGGATGCAGATATGGAAGGCAGAAGAGTAAACAGTCAGTTGTAATACACTTCAGTGAGTATAATAAAATCATATACAAGGTGCTTTAGGATCCCAGAGAAGTAAACTGTCTAACTCATCATGGAAAGTCAGAGGAAACTTCACAAATAACATAGCACTTATACTTTTAATAGAACTCAGAGGAGGCAGTTTGAAACTAAAGACAAGGAAACAGTATATGCAGAGGAAAGTTGGACAGAAAGCTTACAGTTAAGTACTGGATTATGGCTAGAGTATTGTATGTACGTTTGGGCAATTGTGGTAATACAATCAGGTTTGTAGTTTAGAAAGATCGCTTTGGCAACAGGAGAGAAGGAGGTTTTTAAGTAAGCCCATATGGGACATTTCTACAGTAATTTAAGGGTCCTAGTTAAGACATTCATAAGGAGGAAGGGAATCAGAGAGTCTTTTAGAATATGTTTCGTCAATACCACCCTCCATGTATAATAAGCATTATTTGACATTTGATATTATTAGCCTCATCCTTTTCAGTAAGGATTGAACAGTTATTTATAGTACAATGCCTATATGCATGTGGCATTCTGTATATAAAAATATATATAGAAGAAAGATAAAGTGTAATTCTGCATTCTAGGAGCATATAACCTTATAGCGAAGATAAGACATACATAAGAACCAATTAAATGATAGTGCAAGCCAGCATATAATTAAAACAGTGAGTGATAGAGATGATTGATGTACTAGAACTTCAGAAAAGGGAAAGATCACATTGGCCTGTGAAAATATTTTAGAGAGTGAATGAATGGTAACAAAAGATAAGTTCATATTGAGTAGAAAATTTCCAAAGGTAATTAAATATAGGGGATTTTAGCTTCTGTAATCTGAATGGAACTGGAGCTTAGATAAGAAAGTTTATAATCATTAGTATAAGGAGTTGGAAATTAAAATTGTGAGACAGAATCCCTTAAATCATCATCATCATAATAAAAAGAACAGATCAAGAACAAGACCTTGGTAAATACTTACAGTAATAACAGTACAGGAAGAATAGCCAGTATGTCATTCAGAGAAATTGTTTATAGATGTATGAGGGAATCAATAAAAGTATAGTGTCACATAATCCAGAGGTTAGATTATGACTTCCTATAATGGCCTTTCCTGCCTCTCTCCTTAATCAAAATCATACCCATCCTTTAAGGCCTGCTTAATTCCCATATCCATGGCAGTTAATTAATTGCTCTTTAATCATTATTTTGGTATGACCTATTTTCAATATAGTTGTCTTTCCTTAGCTAAATTCGAAGCTTCTAAAGAATGATAACCAGGTGACAGACATCTCTGTATTTCCCCCACAGCATCTAGCACAGTACTAGGTATATATATATGTATATTAAAATACAAATCTATTGAATAACGAATGACTTTAGAAATAATGTGAGCATTTCCTTGAAATTCAGGACCCAGAACTATAATGGCAGCCTACTAAGGGTGTTCTATAATGTGGTCCACGAACACTCATACTGTAAGACCCTTTGCCATACTCAGAACTTCAGAGCAGATTTGTAAGATTCTAGGACCATGTTGAACCTAAAAGTCTAAACAAGGATTTTCACACTTCCAAAAGCCATCTCATGGAGTTTTCTTTCTGCATCAGTGAGTTTTTAAGTTTACTGGTTAATACTATTTTTGGCCATCTTTTTCTCATCATCTTATGGCTTTTTGGTTATGAGAGCGCATGCATGCACATACACACACACACACACACCACCACCACCCCTCCCTTCTCAATATTCATGGTAGTCCAGACTCCTTGATGGATAACTACTGATCTCAGTGCTGTGTAAAATAAAATAGACTTAGGTAAATAAACTTCACACGTATGTCAACCTCAAAGAATAAGTAATTGGTAGTTAAATGAGAGGATGGGTAGAAAAGGAGGTGGATGAAAAGGTAGGTGGAGGTTTGGGAGTGAATGATTGAGGAAGTAGGTAACACAACAAGGGAAAGCTAGGGAATGCATGATGAGATACTAGCGAAGCTGCAGTGAATTCAGTTATTGATGTCGGGTAGCAAATAGTATAGAGAATCAAAAAGAGTAAATCATCTTCAAATTTCTTTCATTTTGACTATGGAATATACCACATAATCTTTTTTTTTTTTTTTTTTTAGCAAATTAACCATCCTAATTGTTTTTGCCTTCTCTTTTATTAAGATTAATGTACATTTTCATATTTTGTATTACAGTAGATGGTCACCATGTTTTAAATGATTGTCAAAAGATGAATAAACTTGGTAATGCCTATATATACAATTGAGATTAAATACTGTAGTTTTAAATTTATTTTTCTATGTCATTGATTCCTAATTATATATGGGCAGGTTTTTCAGATTCTAGAATTTTGTGGATAGCCATATATTTCACTTAAATAATTAGACATAGAATTCAATATAGTAATTTTTTCCTATGAAATATATATTATTGGAGTCTTGTAACTCAAATATTTAGGTTTCATTTGAGAAAATACCCAATTCATATTTTTTAATAGTGTTTTTATTTTTTAATTAGTTTAATATCACCCCTAGAACTGCATCATATTTTGCTTTTTTTCATTTGCCATTTTTTTTTTAAATAGATACATATGAGTCATTGAGAGGTGAAAGATCTTTAAATTAGCTGGCAAATCATATTTGGAAAAATCTTTCACTCAGTCTAGGGCAGTAATCACTTTGCAGAATAGTAATAGAATAACGAATTCATTCTGAAATATTTTCATTTGCAAACATTGTAATTATTTTACTAAAACATGCAAATCAATTTAAAATTGGAAACAAAAGAAATGCTTTCTTTTACAATTTTAAAAGGTCTTCTCAATTTTTAAATTCTATGATCTAATGAAAACATTATTTAACAAGCACTACTGTAAAACTAAATCACTTCAGTAGTGTATGAATCAATCTTTAATTTTATAAATGATTTATAAATTTTATAAAAATTAATATTAATTTCAAATGAAATTTGCTATAATTGTGAAGGAATGATAAAATGAACGCTTTGACAGCCAGTAGGTCTTCAGCTGCTTACAATTAGTTTTTTTCATGACTATTTAAGAAAGAAATGGCCTGCTCTATTCTTTCTATTTTTAGAAACATTACTTAAAATTTAATATAGTAATTAAAGTTATAATTTATATTCAGTTAAGTTTCCTTTGAGTTTTGTTATACTAAATTAAATATTTTTTACAAAAAGGTGTGTGTATGAGTGTGAATTTTCTTACCCTTGGTGGGGGGTTCTGTGTCAGGATTACAACAAAAGAAAATTTAACAGCTCCCCACTGCTGCCTTTCAAGATAATTACAATGATGGAGAAGACTACCTGCAACAAGCAGTGTAGCCCAGTTGACTCAAAAGCTGAGTCTTGCTTGGGCTAGGGGTACTGAGAAAATTTGCTTTAGCAGAAATATAAGTTACAGTGTGTTAGGAAGTTGTTACGTATATTTAAGTAGATATACCTTCTATGAAATAGCATCTTCACAGCCTCAGGTCTAATGAAAAGTAATTAAGACCATTTGTAGTAGTTAATTCAGCTGTTAACTAGGCCATCTGGAAAGAAGTTGTCAGCACACACCATCATCATTGCTTGCCAATTCATTCACTTTTTTTTTTGGTTACACTAAATTTCTCCTCTAATTTCATATGCTGCTTCTTCCTAGTCTTTTAATAAAATTTGAGTTTGCTGTACTTCTGACTATAACCAATTTTCTAGACTCTCTGGGACAGTGCCGCATTTCTTCTGTTCCTCCTCTCCCTGAACCAACCCCATAACCCAAAACTCATTTGAATGAGAAAGTATCCATACTTAGCATAGCTCTGTCAGTCAGCTCTACTTAATAGCTTCTGTCTGTTTTGCAAACACTAGGACCTTAACTCTGAATCTAATGAGTAGATTTCCCCTCCCTTTTTTTTTTTTTGGTTAGCCATATGAATAATTCCACAGTGTTAATGAAATTACTGTAAATATTCAAAGGTGGTTGTTACTTTTTCTCTTTTGGTTTCCTAATCATTTCACTTAATGTGGCATTTTCATGAAAAATTTTAATGTTACTTTCTAATGTGTTCTGTTACCTGTTTCAAAATAAACTCTCCCGTGTTAGGTACACTCCCTGCAGTTACAGAGGAATGGAAGAGAGACTACCTCATGGCAGCATGTCACGACTAACAGATCACTCCAGGCACAGTAGTTCTCATCGGCTCAATGAACAGTCACGACATAGCAGCATCCGAGATCTCAGTAATAATCCTATGACTCACATCACACATGGCACCAGCATGAATCGGGTAATTGAAGAAGATGGAACTAGTGCTTAAATTGTCCTAAGGTGGAAAATTTGTGCCGTTTAAAAGATGTTATTCTTTGCCTTTGCATGACTGATTGCTGTAACTCACTGTTATGCGTTCAGTCAGGTACAGATTGTATCCATTGGAAAAGTAAATTTTTGCTTTTTTTATCGTGTCAAACTTGGAACAACAAGGCGTCCAAAATGTAAGAATTTTATCGTCACATAAATAGTTCTTATTCCTAGGTTATGAAGAGATAATTATTTGTCTGGTAAGCATTTTTATAAACCCAATTATTTTATATTTAGAAAAATCCTAAATGTGTAGTCACTGCTTTGTAGTAAATTTTCATATAATATCAACTAGTCATGAGATAACATTCTGTTGTTCTGTTAATAAAACAATATTTCAGAATTAAAGAGATTTTCTATGCAAGGTTTATTTCTCAGATGAATAGTAGGACTTTGTAGTTTTATTTCCACTAAGTGAAAAAGAACTGTGTTTTTAAATTGTAGGAGAATTTGATAAATCATCAAGGGTATTTTAGCTAATAGAATATAATATTAACAGAATAATCTGATTAGTCTACTGAAGGTTCTTTCAAAATTCTATCAAAATAAACTTCATCCAGAGAGATACAGGATCTGGAGGGCAATGGGCATTTTTTTCCCTATAATTGAGCTGTTTTTATTACTTTTGTAAATATTACATATAGTGGCAGTGTTTTTATAACTTATCCATATGCATGATGGAAGAATAATTTGTAGCCATCTTTTCCCATGCAGAGGTATTGATTTCAGAGAGAACTTTTTGTTCAGATCTGTTCCTTGGAGGTATGTAATAAGATGGGCATCACACCTTATAAAGTTTTTTGTTTGTTTGTTTGTTTTTTTGTGGTAGCCACAATTACAAAATGGCAAAATGTTTTCTCTGTATTCATTGTTGTACTTTTCTACAGTGAGATGTGATCTTGCGAAAGCCACCAGATCTTGGTATCCAGGCTGCTTCTATCTCAGTGAGTTGACTGCACTTGCATTGCCCAGTAGCAAACAGGCTACAGCTTTCGCCCCCCACTCTTATTTTCAAATTCCTCATTGTTCTTGTTTACAGCTGAAGTATATATAAACCTAAGTCCAAAGTGATGATTTATTTGGGGTATCTGAAAATCATTGTAGCTAAATGAAGCATGATTAGTCTTGCTGTGAAGTATCTTTTAATCTTAAAAATATCAACTCAAAAATGTTTGACATTTTGTCTTGTGATGTTTAAATAATTTGCAATAAAAACGCTGAACTTTATCAGGCATGAAATTTATCAGAATGGAAAGAAAAATTCTAGAAAATACTGGATGTGTTATATAGAAAAGCATATTTAAACAAGCAGTCCACAACCCTGACTACAGATAAGAATCACTTGGGGAACCTCTGATGCCCAACACTTTCCTCTCATTCAGATGAGAATTGATACTCTTCAAAAAAGCTTTTCAGTTAGTTCTGATCTGCATCCAGGCTGCAGGCTGTTTTAAACTAAACTACCCCTGATGATGATCTGATGGCATCATACTATATCATGTGAAAATCTAGTTGGATTCCATCTTATGCTTTTATATCATTACCTGATATATAATTGTTCTCTATTTTCCATTATATAATGTGGAATTCTGGGCTCCACTCCTAAAGATTCTTATTCAGTAACTCAGAGGTGGTAGGACTTTAAAATCTGTAGTTATAAAAATACCACAGGTGATTCTTATGCAGGTCATCCAAGAATCACACCTTAAAAAATATTCTGTACTCCAGAGAGGACTGGTTTTGTCATATGCTAGCTTTTGATCTTTAACAAGTCAACTTCTCTGAGCTCTGAGCTTCCGTTCCCTTGTTTGTAAATGAAGACAGAAGATAAATACCTACCTCACAGAGTTGTCAAATAGGGATCAAATGAAAAATCATATGAAAGTGCTTTGAAAACTAAAGCATGAAGTATAAGGGAGTAAGATTATTGAGGATTTAAGAGATTTGCTCGAGAGCTATTTTACATTCCTTGCCATGTGTTTAATTCATGTGTACTTTTACTCTTTTTTTAAAAACAAAAAGTACCAAAAAATTAGGTGTTAAAAAAGAAGCTTTTATCAGGACAGAGGTCAGGTTTTTGCTAAAAATAATTTGTATGTCATGTTGTTTCTTTCAGAGTACATATATCTTAATATTTATTATTACTAATTCTTCATAAGATATATTTGAACATTTGGCCCCAAAAGTTTTTTTTTTCCCTCTGTCTTCATTCTTTCCCATTGGAACTGGAGTGTTCAAAACAGGCAGAATTGGAATTCCCTGTAACTGACATTTAGTAAACCTTTTCTCTGAAGGCCAAACTTATAATAGCTCATTTATAAGTAAATTAGTAATTCCTGAGGCTTTTGTCTGAGAATCTCTCCTGAAAACAGCCTGAGAGAGGACTAACACAAACATTTTAACAAAAATAAGAAGTTAAAATAGAAGGTACCAGTTTGAGCTCAAAGATGTTGTTAGTCATTGCCATCTGCATTATATTATCAATTGCCAAGATGTTAATTGGTTTTCTTGTACAAGTGGCCAAGTATAGACAGTTAAGTGAACAGCACTATGAAAATCCTAACTTTATACTTCCTGATTTTTACATATTCATTTGTAGCTTTTATGTTAAACTGTTGATACATCGTAAGTGCTATATTGACATTTCAGTTACATTCAGTATCTTAATTTTGCTACACAAAATTTACTTAATCTATTGTTTTGAATAACATTATTTAGTTTGGGCCATGTTATTTATCAAACTAGTGCTCCAAATTAAGAATTTTTTAAAAGAGACAGTTGAACTATAGCAAAACAAATTTTAGACAGCTTTCTTACCATATGTTTAATTTGTGTTGTGATTGGCATATGATAATGTTTAGTGTTTTATTTGTTCAGTTGACAACTGAGAAAATAATAGTGCTCTCTGAAATGTTACTATATAATCAAAAGTTTTTTGAAAAATACTTTGATTTCACCAATATTGTATTTAATTTATTCAGTAATTAAACGATCCAAGACAATATTAAGTTCCAAACAATAACTAGCTTCAAAGAACAATTGATTAAATAACTCAACAACTAGCACAGGGCTTAGTAGATAGTAAATTTTTCAGTAAATAAACAAATGAATAATAACTCATGTCATGCAACTCACTTTTACACTAGTGAGAGTCTCACTTCAAAGAAATTTGAAGGATCTGAATTTAAACTAAGTAAAAGTTTGCTTTACCAAAATAACATGCGTCAAGTAATAAGAAACAAGTAAATTGTACCAAATGAAGCTTATTTCTTCTGTAGTAATAGTTCATATTACTACTTAAAGAAATATAGATACAAAGTTGTACCTACACTTTGTATTAATTTTTAAAGTTGAAAGCTATTTTAGAATAGCTTGGTTTTATGTGAAGTTAGATCTTTGTTTATTAGTTGAGTGAATAAATAATCAAGCAAACCTTTATTAGTAATGATTTTCTTTTTCTGCTGCTTCCTAGAGCAGATTTAAAAAATTCTAAAAATCTCTTCAAATTAGAAAATTTTACTACATTTTAACCTACCTCATTAGTTTTTTTTTTTTTAATGATAGCTGAAAATAACCGAAATTGTAACTATCTTGGTTTAGGTTATATCCCCATGAAATAAAAGGAACTACTTAAATTTTTTTGATAAAATAGTGGATTATTGGACTGAAGCTTAGGAAACAATATACCAAAATTTCATATGATATTTATACTGCTTTTGACATGCCAAAGGTACATTCATATATTATACTTGGATGACTTCCATAGTCTAGTGTAATGAAAATTACACTGGGCTTGGAATTCAAAGACCCATTATGATGTAAAGTGGACAAGTTATTTAACTTCTCTTAGTGTCAATTTCTTCAGTGTAAAATAAAGATAAGGTAATATATGGCCCCAACTTACATCACAGGATGTTGTGAGGATCAAATGACGTATCATGTATTAAAGTGCTCTGTAATCTGTAAATTACTTACATGTTTCTGTTAGAATTTGGGGGTTATAGAAAACAAGGATTGGTCTTCAGTGGTATATAGCAATCACAACAAAATCGGCAATTAGAACAGTATTCATTTGGTACAATTTTTAAATCAACAATCCAATTATTTTTTAAAAATGAGTGGCTATGCCCTTAAATTGTGTTGACTCTTTAATATATGTTATATCACAGTGTGCTCTCAAATTTTATAGTTGAATTTGTAGGTCACTTTCAACAAAAGTTGAGGATCTCCATTATATGTTATGTTTGATATGGAATTATATAAAGTAGCTTGACCACTGAAATTTTTAAGAAAAATATAGAGTAGTGTAGGCCTTATAATTTTTTTTTTCCTTTGAGAACTTTCATGCGCCTAATTCTTTATAAGAACAAGTTTTAAAAATGTGATTACTGTAACTTGTTGGTTTTCACCAGTACAAAACTTTAAATTTAAGTCATAACATTATCTTAATTGTTTGTATATTTGTATGTATAATTTTTAAACCCACATAAAAGTAAGGATTTCTCCATTCTCCCCCTCCCCCCCACATAAAAATACAGAAAAGAGCATCTTTACAGAACCAGGACTTAGAAAGGAACTCATCATTCTTTTAAACTTCTTTTATCCCTTCTTAAAACTGATTAAAATAATAAAAATGTTTACATTTAATTCAGCTATGTTTCCTAGTATAATTTTATACATTATTCTTATATCATTTTATATGAAAAAAATTATATTGACATCTCTTCCCTTTTTGGTCCAGTTACATGAGTTTTGGGAAAGGAATAGGAAGTCTAAGCATCCTTTACCTTCCAGCTGATAAGAGTCAGTTGCCTAGGGATTTTTCTAACTTAATTTTAATCTTATTTTATTTAATCTTATCTTAATTTGTTCTTATTTTATTAGCCACTTTCACCAGTTTTACTTGATAGAAAAACAAGATTTTTTGCCTTGTAATTTGGAATTTGAAGATTCAGTGTTCTATTATTTTGGCAATTATCATTCACTAGTAATATTAGTATTTATAAGACAGTGATATTTTTCAAGCTTGTTATTTTATCATATCTCCTGAAGTAGGGTGAATTACATTATTATTATTATTATCATCATCATCATCATCATCATCCTGGGTTTTTTGTTATATGTCACCTTGTTTATATTGTTAATTTACAAATATTTCTTTGTGTTGTGCTTATTGGCTTAAACAAAAAAACATTAGAGCTAGATAATTTTTGTTTTCCAAATTGGCAGATTTTTTACTATTTAGTAAAAATGCATTATGTTATTTTTAAAGGCAAGAGACCCGATTTCTAGTCTTGTCCCTTTTTTCAATGAGCTCTATAACTTTGGGATTTTACCTGTTGGAACCTCGGTTTTCTCATCTGTAAAAGAAAGAAACAAGGGCATTAGATTAGTTAGTGTCTCAAATTCCACCTGTCTCTACTTTGGTTGTCCCTTGACCATTTTATAATCATTCTGGGCTTACTTTTATTCTTGTTATTCTTCCCATGAACTGTATTTTCTAGATCAACTTGTACTGTTAATGCAATTTATCCTTAAGTTGATAGGATTCAGATATGTTATTAACTTTGTTTTCCATTCATGATTTTTAAGTAATTTTAAAGGAGGAAAATTTTATTACAGATAATAAAAGTGAAAGAAAGGTTACATATAGTTGATAGGACTTTTTTTTTTTTATCATGGAAAAAGTCTCCTAAAGCACCAACATAAGCACCTTTCTTTCACTTTTATTTCTGTAATTTAATTTATATACAGAATAAAGTGACATGAAATTTTATGGTCTTTGTTCTCTTAAATATGAAGATAGCTAGTTAGTCTAAACTTTAAATAAACTGTATTCAAGATAAAATTAGTAAATAAAGCAGTGATAGCACTAGCCCATGTAGCTAATTAGAAAACTATCAGGTTTTACTGACATTAAAATAATTATAAAACGTAAAAACAGTTTTAGAGGAGTGTATTGAAATTTTTCTGTTCAATAATTATTCTTAAGCTGTAGTCTTAGATTCATTGAATAAATATAGTTGCCAGATTGCCATGGACAAGTGTATGTCCTGCTTTAAGATATTAGAGATAATGTGGTTTGTTATTTTTAATTTTTTTCTGGCTGTGCAGAAGATGTTTCCATAACGCCTTTTTAACTGTCTATTAAAATGTAGTAAGTAATTCCATTAGTTTCATCTTTCAACTGCGTTCTCGTAGATTTTGTATTTTCTGAGAACCAGGCCAAGGAAGTTCCTGTTACTTTTAAAGATCACTGTCTTTGCCCTAAGTGTCTGCATTAGCTCATATCAATCTCTTGAACACTTTACTCTGTAGATTTGCAATCTGGGTATTGGGTTTGTGGTCTGATGAGTAGAGAAGAATAATGGAAAGTTGATATAGGAAAGTGAATTTGTTTGTGGTGTGATTTCTTTGACTATACTGGATTCCTTGTCTTTGGCCAGTTCACTGAATCAGGCAACTCTCCTGCATTCCAGAAATTAAATTAGATGCCCAGATTCTCTCATTCAGACACACCTATATTACAGTGTTATTCCGATTGCCTGTTAAAAAATAGTCTTTATTTTCAGCTCTCTGTCTCTGCATGTTTTATTACATTTATTAAACTTGACTTTTATGTCCAAACATTTCTTTGAATATTTTCTGGGTGTCGATAATGGGATATTCTATAAGATAAAGCAGATAATCCCAGAGTGATTTAATTTGTATTCTCCATCCACAAATTTTTCTATTTCTCTAACTACTTCTCTCCTCCCCAGTTTTGAAAAGGAAGTTTATAAATGTCTTCCCTTATTCCCTTAGGCCTCAGATAATTTTCCCCTGAACTACTCTTGTCAGCAAAAACATTTAACATGGAATGATTCTATATTTCTGAGACAAGATCAACACAGTTGGTTTTTACATTGAGTTGAAAATAATGTATTTTCTTTATTATGGGAACTTAAAATTTTTTTTTTAAATCATAAAAAGGACTCTGGTGTGAAAATATTAGTCTGGAAGTTCTCTTGTTATCAGGCGCTATTTCTACCTTAGCTATGAGTTACCAGAGTAAATTTGAATTCATCATTTATCTTTTTTTAATTTAACCTCTCTAGAATTATCCAATTTCATATATCTTAACACCAACTTCAAACCACTTTTCTACTTTTATTTTCAAATGCCAAATTTTATTTTTGAGAGTTTTATTTTTTTCATTGAAGTTTAAAAGTATTGCATATATGAAGGGTGACCGTAGTTTAGACATTTACTTTGGCATGATTAAGATATCACCACCATCATCCCTCTTCCCCAGCCCTAAAAAGAAAAGTTCATTTGACACTCAAAAGCTATTAAATTGTCAAATTCTGTTAATTGAAAGAGCTATAGAAGCTGTTTCTTCTAATTTATAATTTTTAATTAAGAAAATACTAATTTTGTTTTAATTTGGTAGTGAAATTGGGGGATTATTTATATATACTTATGGGTCTAATTAATGAGTTCATCAGTTATTTCATTTTCTGTAATATATAATTTTTTTGAGCCTTTTTTTGTTTTGTCTTGTTTTCTTAACATTGTACAGTGTTGTATATGTTAGGTTATCATTGTCTCAGCAGAAAATTCCTGTAAATGAACTGTTCTTTCTGAGAATCAGGCCAAGGAGATTCTTACTATGTGGTCATAGTTGGATAATGTTTTGAACTATGTGAAATTGCTGGTTTTGTTGGTCAAAAGTGATCAAACACTTTTGGCAATTTCATAATGTATATTTAAGGGAAAAAAAAACAAAGATCTTTCTTAAGAGATATGTTGGGAAAAAAAAAAGAAATTGACTACTTATCCAGCGCTTATCAACCTATCAGAGCCTGTATGAAGGAGACTCTCAAACTGCAGGTAACCACAGGTCTATCAAGAAAACTGCTTTGTTTTGTTTTTAAATTGTCCAGTTTTCAAAGGTATTTTATCAAAAAGACTTCAGTAATTGAAGCAAATACCTTTTGGGAAAACATAAGCCACAGGCTTTTATTAAGTTTGTGTGTAGTTTTTAAGCTTTTATAACCTAGGTTATTGTTTTATATTAAAGGATTAGTCTATAGATATCATTTAAAGGCTAAATAACTCCCCCTTAATATCTAATATGGACTCAAATTATGCTAATTATAGAATTTTCTTAGTGGCATTCTAAAATAATACTGCTGTTACATACTCAAGTTTTCCGTAAAATGCCATTTAAAGATTTTTTATACCTATATTTCAGGTTATAAGAATAAAAGCATATGAACATAGAAATATAAAAGTATGAAGCTTCTACACAGAAAATCCCCAATATTAGACATAGCTATGATCTAAAAGGTGATAAATTGGGTTGGTCCTAACTCAGATTATATCTTTTCATATAAATTATAGTATTATGAGTAATAGGCATAACAGGTTAGCTAACAAGAGCTGATCTAGTGCAGTCCAATATTAATTTAGATGTCTTGGTCTTATATAAACTTTTATAATGGAGAAAGCTTACTTTGATCTCTCAATAACTACTTGGTACACTTCTTCCTAGGTGGTACCATGAGCCCTGTCCAGGTACATACTCTTTTACATTCCCCAAGATCTTCCTACCTGCCTTCTATCACCATCTTGCTTATCAACACTTCCAAAGTATAACTTATCTCAAGTGTTAGGAAGAAGGACATTTGCTTTAACTAATTCATATTGAAGTGTTAGTGACTATAGCCCTTTCACCTCTCTTAAAGAGCAATCTGCATTAAAAACAAACACATTATTGTTAACACAAATTACTATCAATTAGTAGAATATTAAGCTTTAAAACAGAAGTGGAAATAATTTTATTAGTGTTGGTGGGACTATTGTGAGGCAAGAGATATCATTAAATGACTTAACTTGGGAATCGGCCCCTTTCACTCAACCCATGTGATTGATGTCTGAAAGTGCTGTATATTTTCAGTGACCTTGAGAAAGGGAGTTAGTCATTTGTATTTATGGGTTATATGAAGTCAGGGCCTTGCGGATCCTTTTTTTCAGTTTAAGGGCTGTGTCTGGAGCATTCTAGGTATCCATCAGAGTCTGTGTTTCAGTCTAGGTCTAACCTACCTTCCAGCTCTGTCTTCTGGCCTCCAGGCCTATCTTCTAGCTCTGCTATTGATATTAAATTTTACAGATGAGCACTATCCATTCTTGTAAAAAAGTCTTTCCTCATTTTACTGTTACCAACAATGACTACCACCTTCTCTTTTTTTCAAGAGATAAAAAGGTAGAAAAGATATTTGGTTTTAATTATTTTAAAAGTCTTTATTTTTAAATAGCTGGCACTTAGCAATTTGGTTTTCAAACCCTATTTTGAACTAAATCGATGAGGTGATTCTAAAATCGATTCTAAAATTTTAATCTTGCTTTCTCATATAAACATCTAGTTAGAAAATGTTTATGCTAAAGACTCGTATTTTGTGACATTAGTTCTTCACGTTTCTTTTTTATGTATTTAAAATTGTTCATTTATTTCCAAATGAGTGGAAAAGTTACTGTTGTTGAGATATATATATAGGGCAAGCGCACTTGATTAGAGCATGAACTGTACTTTCACATTAGCTGGATGTGCTTTGCACTCTGCTCTTGTAGATTTATTTTGTTTACAGTAGACTACTGTCAGTTTTTGTAACTGTTTTTACTTAGCACTTTAACTGTGAGTGTACAAACTGATTTTAAATGTAGTGGTTGTATATTTTGGTTATAAATTGGAAATTTTTAATAAAATTAAATAATTTGTTCTCTATTTTGTCATTAGTATCTGATTGAATATAATTTTTAAAATCATTTTTTGGACTCCAATATATTACACTACTTTTATATTTTTATATTCTTATAATGTTACCTATTTTTTCATTCATAATAACAGGATTCACATTAATCTGGAACACAGAAATATATAAACACACACCATCCTGTATCATATCTCTTTGTATCATACTTTATTGTGTCTATATAGGTAAGGCCCATCTGTATTCATTGTTATATACTCAGTGTATAACATTACTGGGCACATAATAGGTGCTCAACAAATATCCGTTGAAAACAACGACTACATTAAAGTATCTATAGTCAATTTCCCAATAGGAAATCCTACCCACATAAGCAAATCAGTTGTGTGTTGTTTTGTTTTGTTTTGTTTTACACAGGAAGGCAGAACAGGATTTAAACTACTATTTGAATTTCTTTCCTGGATCATACAGTTTTTATTTTTGCACTGGGTTGAAGATTAGACCTTATGATTTCTAAGGTCCAGTTTAAACCTAGTGTAAAAATCTTTCAAAACCATTTTTTATAAGCCTCTACTTGAATGATTTCAGTAACAGAAAGCTCACAACTCTGTAAGGTCTTCCGTTCCATTTTGAGGCAGCATAGTTGTTACAAAAGGCTTTCCATATATTGAGTGGAAAATATATTTCTTGGTTACCTTCGCACATTGGTTCTGCTCTACATATATACAGCAATTCTTTCACAGGACTATTTTCTAGACATTTGAAAAAAAGTATGCTGTTTCCTCCAAATCTTTTCTATAGACAAAACATGTCACGTTCTCCAATTCATATCCTATTCGCCAATTCTCTCATGACTTCCTATTAGACCCTAGTTGTTCCTCTGCAAAAGTTATTAATATTCCTTTAAAATTTTTCCCAGAAATGAACACATATCTCCAGATTCTATAAAATCAGTTAAGAATTCAGTATACCCTATGTTCTGTGCATTATACTTCTATTAAGAATGGGGCACCTTTTTCTACAACCATCTCTCTTTAGTAATTGAAAGTAGATGAAGATACGTGTATGTATATGTTTGTCAATTGTTCAAACTCTAATGTTTGCCAATTAAAGTCAAATATTTCCTTGAGGCACTGATTGATTACTATGTGCCAGGCAATGAGCCAAATAAAGTCTTTAATCTCCTGACAATTTATTTCAAAGGTGAATCAAATATTTAGTTAAGATGGAAAAATAAATTATTATTATATGGTTGCTAAATTTAAAATGTTCACAGTTGGAGGGAAGAGAGTAATTTTTTAGTTTTTTTATGTTGATCATTAACTAACTTTGTAAATAAATATTGATCATTAGCAGATTGAGTACTAATCATGGTGTTTGTGCTGAAGTATATAGATACACATGGATACACACTTTCCTTATCTGTAAAATGTAAGTGTTGGACTAAGTCAATGGTTTTTAGATATGGGATCCTTTCATCAAAATAGTGTATGTAGTCTCAGTACATAAAACATATGAAAGTAGACTTTTGTTTAAAGAGAAAGTCCCTAAAATCCTACCCTTGGCCTAGTCCTCTATCTCTCTTCAGTACAGAATCCCTTGAAGCACCTAGTTGGAACTCTTAGAACTCAAAGAGCCCGCTTTAAAAATTACTAAATCACTCTATTTTGACTAGTGGTGGTCGCACAAGTCTACATGTGATAAAATTGTATATAACTACACACACAAAGGAGTGAGTGTAAAACAAGTGAAATTAAATAAAATAGATGGATTGTATTTATGTCAATTTCTCGGTTTTGATATTGTACCATAGTTAAAAAAATATTACCATTGGGGGAAACTGGGTATGGGTATTATTTCTTAAAACTGCATGTAAATCTATAATTATCTCAAAATATGTTGCTGACCCCTGATCCAACCCAAGAGATGATAAAACTGGAGCCCGGTTAGCTTGAAGGAAAGGCAGAACTAGGACACCACATCTATTGTTTCAGAGAAGGACTCGTTCTACTAGAACAGAGATTCTCAAATTTTCCTTCGCATGAAAAAATCACCTGGGGGAGGGAGAGGAGGAAATTATGAAAAAACACATTCTCGGGCCCACGTCACAGACATTTAGATGCAATAGGTCTGAGAAAGTACCCAGGAATCAGTTTAAAAGCACATATGAGTCTGATGCATATGGCTCAAGGACCACACTTTGAAAAACATTCCCTAGGTCATGGATTCTTATTCTTCTAGGCAACAAGTAAATCCTTTGTATCACAGATGGACAAATAAGCAGAAGATGATGAATTGTTTCGAATACTCTAGATTTTTTTCCTCTTTGCCTTTGCTCCAGAATCCCTTGCTTAGCAGCAGCTCGTCTGTGCTGCGGGGTGGGCATGTGAGAAGTATACAGACACCTGCCAGCCAGCCTAGTGGGCTCAGTACAACTGTGGGGAGGTAACAGGCCAGTTTTGAGTCAGCTCTCCTAATGAGCATCACTTGTTGACTGACTCCAGGGGAGGAGCTCATTATTCACTTTTGGCCCAGGGCCTTCTCTTGTAGGGTTGCAAATGAATAGATGCCATTCGGCTTCCATGTTCACCTCAGTGGAAAAAAAATGGAAAAAATCATCAAAGCAATAATTTAGTTCATGCTTCTCGTTGAAAAGGGTCAGATTTGCTGGAAGGAAGCTTGTGGAGGCTGTTTGGCACCGAATTTTCACACTTGATCTATTCCTTTCTTCCTCAATCCATTTCCCCTGCCCGCCCCACCTTGATCCCTTGAATGGGGACATTGTCTGCTCCAAGTCATCCAAACCAAAGCCTCTGTTCTTTTGAGCAATTCCTGCCCCTCAACCCCCAGATGCTTAGGAAATATAAGCCCTAAGAAAACAACATGAGGTTAATATTATGTCAGAAGTCCCTATTCCTGTAAAGGGGTTGGCCTAATCCAGAAACTTCATTTTTTTATCCCCGCTTCAAACTCTTTACAGTACCTTTTTCTCTTGTAGCTCATCTCTTGTTAAGAACTTGATAGAATGAAAACCCTAGAGCCAAGTGTATATATTTGGAGCTAAAAGTTAAGTTGGGAAAAAGTTGGAATTGATGGA